AACAAGGTATGCGTTTGTTCTTGTTTTATTATTATTTGGTTTTGTTCAAGCATCACTTCTGTATGGGTATGGCCGCTGCGTGCCTTGCTATTCAGTACTTACTGTCATATGCGTTTGTGGTGTTGTAATGTCTCTATTGATCTTTAGGTCTGCTATAGCCCTGTAGAACTTATCAAAAGAAAAAAAAAAGGTGGTGAAAATGAGTTTAGAAGGAACAATTTAAAATTCAATGAATCTGGAAGCTCTTATGTTTTAGGGTTCAATTGCATGGTTCAGTTTTGCCATATGGATAGCACATGCTGCTATTAGATGAGAATTTGGATCTTTTGCATGCTTTTTCTACCTTGATCTACTCTCTGCTCCAAAAGTTTTTTCCAGTTTTTTCTCTTAAAGGTAGCACCTATTAAGGAAAAAGTAATTTCATCCTTCTGTGCCCACCTGTGTGTTTTATGTCTTTCTGATATCCTGTGCTAAAATGTCGAAAACAATACCCTAGAAGGATAAAAAGTTATGTTCAGTACGCATATCAAATTTAGCTTTATGCAATTATTGTTAATTATGTGCGCCTTAGTTATGTTTCCATCTTGCTGATCAAAACTTTTTTTTTTTTCCTTTTCCTTACAGAACATAATTGCAACTGGAGGGGTTGATACAAATGCAGTAATCTTTGATCAACCATCAGGACAAATCATATCCACTCTTAGTGGTCATTCAAAGAAGGTATCATCTATTAACCCTATCAAACAATTACTTGATGTCTTTTCATTAATGCATATTGAATGGTTATGTATCTTTTCCTTGGTAGGTTAACAGTGTCAAAATTGTACCTCGGGATGATCTGTTAATAACTGGGTCAGCAGACAAGGTAAGCCACATTTAATTTATTTCTTCTCGTTCATGGACATCCTTTATTGATTTGTTCATTGCTTCGTTGCTATTTCATCTTCAATATTTTCTGGACTTCTGTTGCTAGCTTTGCATATTATTCGGTACCAATGTGTAACCCTGGCCACTACTGAACTTTGAATACCTCAAAATTGCAAGTTTTGAGTTGGGATTTTTGAAGTTTTACTATGTGGACCTACACGAATTCAAATTGAGATGCTAGATTTCTTTATATTGCTTTACATGTTGTAACTGGGTAACCTCCCCTGACCTGAACACAAAGGTAACAACAGAAAAGAAAAATAAAAAATTGGAGTAAACACTGAAGTGTGCATGCATGCAATTTAGAGGTTATGCATAGGTTTTACTTGTGTAACTTATCAGATATTCAATCTAGTGAAGTCTATATTGTGATGTTTTGATATCATTTTTTTCCATCAATGTTGCAGACAGTTCGCATATGGCAAGGGTCTGATGATGGGAACTATAACTGTAACCACGTTTTGAAGGACCATACTGCAGAGGTAAATAGTTTTGATTCAATCTTTTCCCCAACAAGTTCACCAAAAAAATGCTCCAAGTCCCTTTAAGTGGAAAAATGAGCAGTAAATCAGGGAAAAAAAAAAGTGAACTTACTCTGCTTCAATAACCATTTCTACTTTTTGTCTTTCTGTGTCCAAGTCGTGATGTTTCTGTATTTCCTGTGTTCAGGAATTTTTGGTTTATGTTATAAGATGTTTGATAACTAATGAATAATGTCTGATAAAATAAACTGCTACCTGGCAATTTTCTTTTTATTTGATATTTTTTGAGGGGCACTGCCCAGCAACCGAGTTTTATTATGTATTGCATTCTATATACTGGTTATGTGCTACGTATATTACTTTATTTAACATCTCAAAAAAAATTCAGGTGCAAGCTGTTACTGTGCATGCCACGAATAACTACTTTGTGACTGCTTCTCTTGATGGTACATGGTGCTTTTACGATCTTTCCTCAGGGTTATGTCTGACACAGGTTATAATCCTTCACTCTGTGTGTGTGTGTGTGTGTGTGTGTGCATGCATGCAGGATGCCATGTTTTCAATATCATGCACTTTGTCAAGTATCATTCTTTTTGAACATCAGCTTCTATCATGAGGCAGTACAATACAAATGCATAAACTTGAGGACATGTTTATGCAGGTCGTTAAATATGTTTAGTATGCAGCTCTTTGCATTTCATTGGTTGATGAAGTGGGGAAAATATTTATGGTTGACGAAGTGTCGAAACTTCTGTAAAATGTTATTGTATGTTTAAACTGATGCACGTGTATAGCTGCTTCTATACTAGTTGAGTTTGCTAAAATAATGAAAAAAGAGAATGGAAACTTTTTCATTTGAAACAGAGTTCATATTTTTTTTTCTCCACCTATGTTCTCCTGTGATATCATTATCTGTACCTTAATTTGCCTTGTCCTTGATTACGCAATGAAAATTTCTTTGGCTCTTTAGGTTGAAGACCCTTCCGCATCTGAGGGCTATACATCTTTGGCGTTCCATCCTGATGGTCTTATCCTTGGAACAGGCACCACTGGGGGCCTTGTGAAAATTTGGGATGTTAAAAGTCAGGTGTGCAGGCATTACTTTTTCTTCTGCTTTCAACCTTTATTTTTCAGTTCTGATTTTACTTTCATTACTTGTGCTAATTGACAGACAAATGTTGCGAAGTTTGAGGGACATGTTGGTGCAGTAACTTCCATCTCCTTCTCTGAGAATGGTTACTTTCTTGCGGTAGGTGCTCCACTAAGAAAAAAAATGAAGTAGATAGAGAATTATATGATATCATGCTCATATATTTTACATTTAAATTGGACAGACTGCAGCAAGTGATGGCATTAAGTTGTGGGATCTACGCAAATTGAAAAACTTCAGGACATTCACTCCATATGGTCCTGACACACCAACAAACTGTGGTATGTATATTCTCATAGTTTCTTTCCCGGCAAAAAAATGAGAAATATTTCATTGCAATGCTTTCACTGTGCAAAATTCTGTTGAATCACTTGAAAGCAACTCTACTTCTTTGGGATTCTTGGTTGACATGGTGAATTTTTGGTTTACATTTACATGTATCTAATTCTTCTTGCTAGATGAGAAAATTTCCTGAGGTCATATATCTATACGCTTCCCTTTTTGTTATAGTCTTCCTATTGTCCTATGTAATCTCTCATTACTTTAGTAACAATGAATTGGATAAGATTTCTTATTTAGACTTGTAATATCATACAAGTCTTGCCAAATATGGAGTATGATGAAAGCTCTGTTTCTGATCCATGCAGTTGAATTCGACTACAGTGGAAGTTACCTTGCTGCTGCAGGCTCCGATATAAGGTCAGTGTTTGAAAAACATACATTTTTGGATTGAACACCTGAATTTTTTTTTTTTAAAATGCCTTTTCATTTGTGTTAATAATATCAAGAAGCTTAACGCATGATGGGGGTAGTTTAAAAATTGTAATATTCTACTGAAAATTATAGCATCCCATAATTGTATATGGATATGCGATGAACTGTAACCTTCTAAGTACAATTATGGCACACCCAAGGACAGAAGATTACAGTTTATGTCATATCCAAGGAACTACCCATTCTGTTCCTCCTACCTGCCTTCTCCCTCCCTGATTTCTCTTTTGAAGAAGATTATGAAATGAAATGATTGGCTTAGATTTACTGGACATTAGTGTAGTGGCCTGTGAAAAACTGGAATTTGGTATAATAGTGGTTAATTACTTAAGTTGTCTGAAAGTTGCCATATTTCTCTCTGAGTGAATGTGAGAAAGCTGACATTTGCATTTTACGTCAGTCCAACAGAAGCTGGATATTCTTTGAAATGCATGACAGTTTAGCAATAAATTTTGAATTTAAAGTATAGTTTCTTCTCTATTTGTAAATTCTCATCTCCAAATGCCAAATATTCTGCTACCGTCTTGCTTTCCAGAAACTTTTGAACACTGATTTTGGTATTTTGCTTTTGCAGAGTCATCCAAGCTACTAGCGTCAAATTAGATTGGAACACTATAAAGACTTTTCCTGATATGTCTGGCACAGGTTATTTCTCTTCCACTCGCCTGTCAATTGTTGGTTGTGGGCCTTTGTGGCCTTTACTTTACATTAGTCCCTGAGGTTCTTTACATTAGTCCCTGATGTTCTTTACCTTCTTGTCTTGTTTTAGGTAAAGCAACAAGTGTCAAATTTGGTCCAGATGCAAAATATATTGCAGTAGGATCGATGGACCGTAACCTACGCATTTTTGGCCTGCCTGGCGATGATAGTGCAATGGAGCCCTGAAGTCTTATCAAAGTTGCCCCGTCTGCAGTTGCTGTTACCTTCACTGCGGGTTAATTTGGATTCATCTTGTTGGCCTTTGAACAGGGTTTTGAAGCAATTGTGCCTTGTAGAACATTTATGTAGTTTTGTATTTCCATGTGCAGTGTTAGCTGAGCGGTAGACGTTATTCCAGGGAAAAAAAAGGAAAGAAAAAAAAAGGGGATAGAAATAGTTGAATGCTTAAGAGATTTCAATTTTCGTGGCATATTGGCGGCTGAGGTTGTACTATTATTTTTTCATGTTCTTAATTCCCCCAAATACCATCATGACATTATGGTTGATCATGACTTGAAACCAAAATTGGTTATTAATGTTCCGTTAGGGTTTTTTGGTTATTAGCACGAATCTAACAATTCTTAACTCAGATGTACAGTTTTAACCATTCGAACATTTTTAAGAAAAAAATTAGTTCTGCAAATTTCCCTACCATTTAGGCACGATAAATTGTGCAGCACTAAGAGAGAAGACTGCACACTCAAAGGGATATTCCCAAAATCGAATTTAGAAATTACAGATAGAAAATACTCCCCTTCTGCTAATGACAATATGACTTGTGCATGCAAGCTATTTTTTTGGTATTTTTGATGTATTATTTTTTCACATGTGAAACTGTAATTTGCAGGAAGGAGATCTCCTAGGCAATGAAGCAAGTAGTATCCATTACAAATATGTATGATAGAATCACATGATTCATGGAAAATTAGATTTTCTATTTTCTTCTGCAAAGGATGTGCAAATATGCATGCAATACAACTACATAACTTTAGCATAAAAATACTACATAAATTTCGGAAAATTAGAATTTTAAGACAGTCCTTGTTGCATAGCAAAATAATCCCACGAGCTACAGCTTCAAATCTAATAGATTTCCAAAAGTATTGTTCATCCCATGTTAATCAAAGCCCTCCTATGCTGAATGGTGGAGCAAACTAGAAATAGAAGAATAAAGAATGTAATCACCAACATGATACACAGATACAAATGTATATCATCATCTTGGGCTTGTATCAAGGAAGGTACCGCGACGCATGTGTAAAACCCCAAAGCTGCATACAGAAAGGAATGCATAAGTACATGATCAAGTATCGACATGTTATATTTGTTTGTTTGAGCATGCGTACACATAAAGGCGAAGAGGTTGCTCAAACACATTACCTCAACATTCTTCAACTCAAACTCTGAGTTATGAGCCAAGCACAAGTTCCCGAATGTTTCACATGGTCCGCTTGTTCCACTTAACCTTTTTCAAGCAATAGTTTACAATTGTAACAAATGGATCTGTAAGTATTTCTCCATCTGACAACAGGATACAGGTGGGAATTCAAAGGAAAGCATTGGAAAAGAAAAACTTACAGATCTCCATCCAAGCATAAAGCATAGTTACCACCACCCCCAAGAGCTAGCATGTCATTCAAACACATGTAGTAATACCTGTTGGCTCCTATGTACACAAATTAGACACGGCATCAGCAGTGCCTTTTTCTTTCTAAATGAAAAAAGGAAAAAAATAAAATAAAAGGAAAAGCCTAGCTATGGCTCTTCATCATCATAAAGTCCAAATATTTAGTTACACATTGCTTTACATTTCATCTACTATCATGAAGCATTTTGAAACAAGAACCAGCCAATCCATACGAAGGACAAATTGACATGTTAATGCGGCGGAGTAACTTGTAACCTTCTGTCAGAGACTGAGGTATCAATTAGCATCTCTATCTTAAGCTCCACAACCCACCCATGTTATACATATCATACATATTACGCAAACCCATAATTTGAATCCCAAATACTCCAAAAGGAAACATGCCTCGCAAAGACATAGGACAAAATGCTTACCAGTTGGTCTAAATAGCCTTGGTTCACCATATATGGTTGTAAAGACAAATGTCTGGTTTGTTCCCTATAACCAAAAGGAAAGCATAAGAAGACGCTTATATTGGAAAGAAAAAGAAAGAGAAATTTCAGACATCCAAGTATATAGTTAAGAAAATAATTTTCAAATATTAGTATTCATCCTATAAAAAGAAAGGGACATATATTCAATAAGGTAAGAGCATCTTTACTTGATATTTTCTTTTTGCCGTAGGTTTCAAGGGGCCCTCTAGAAGTCCACCAAACACAGCACCTTGCCTATCTCCAACAATCTAGAAAGTGTAAATACAGTCCACATTATCCTCACAATACTACAAATGATTTGATGTTATCAATTTCAGATCTCCTTGGCAGAGACATTAACATACCAGCAAACAAGGACCAGAGAGGTCAGAACTCTTGCGGATAAGAGTACGGAGTGATATACCATGTTTCAACGTACTGCCCTTCAATCAAAAGAATTGATACTGAATCGAAATCCAAATGCAACAATAGTATACTACTTTTAAGGCAGGGCGCAAACTCCTCAAGAAGCTTACCTATACAGCAAAACCCATTGGCACCCTTTCACTATATTAGGAAGAGATGACAGCAAGAATTCTTGCAGGTCTGAGGAGATAAATACAGAGTCATCCATGAGATAGGATAGATGCTTCTGTGGACTATGCTGGTCAGTTGCTTCTTCAAACACCTCAGAACCACTGGTGCTCCCACCAGAAACATGGTCATAATCGCTTTCTCGATTATTTTTTGTTTCCTTGTTCTCACCTGGTGAACGACATTCTACATATCTATGTAGGGATTCATCTTGGGATTCAAAGTCTACATTACTAACAGAGAGTGATCGTTGATGCTTGCCTGATCTGGATTCACCAAAGCCAACTGATGGGATAACGTAGGAAAAGTATGAAGACATTGATTTACCCCCTTTAGAATCAGGCCCGGCCTACACATTCAAAGACCTATTGTAAACAATCATGATACATAAGACAAATTAAATTAAAGAAGCTACCTTCTGATTGGAAATTGTAAAAACAGGGCACTGACTATTCCCAGAAAAAAGAGGAAAAAATAAATAAATCAACCGAGCTAAATCATAACTCTGGGCATGCATGGTTGAGATGAACTTTTGGAACTGAAAAAGGACACAAATAATTTGAAACAAATTACAAATGGAGCTAAACTTCTCCCCTTAGAAACCGCAAATATATAACTTTAGGGCTAAAACAATGCAAGAAATTGTCATAAAACTCAGTTCCTAAGTTTCCTGGCAGATTACTATCATAATAACAGCAATAAGTGAATGGCCCAACTATGTTGTTCCGACAGTAATTAGCTTCAGATCACTCAGACAATGGCATTCCCTTGTTGCCCATGAGATCTCAAGTTCTCAGTTAGACAAAATCCAAACTGAAAACCTACGTTGTCTATGACACCCAGATCTCAAAATTCTTGAATAAGAAGGATCACATCAACATTGCCAGCAAAACCCATCAAGCTCAAACATTCAAGCTAATGAAAAACACAGAGAAAAAGAACAAAAAACAGAGAAATAATTGGATCAGGGATGGTACAAAAATTACCTCAGGATGATGATGGTCCAGTGAGGGAGGAAGAGAAGAAGAGGATGATGAGTCGGGTGAATCAGCAAAGAGACGTGAGAGCCTCTCTGTAACCTTCTCTTTCAAAGTGAACATTGTGATCAGCTGACGTTAAGGAAGAAGGAGAGATGCAGACAGGTCTATGAATCTCAGGCCTTTCTTTCTCTCAATGTTTTTTTTTTTGGGTTTTGGTTTTTAACGTTTTTTATTTCCAAACGATTTTAGCTTTTGATTTTTTGTGTGGAGGAGGAACAAAAGGACCGCACGTCAGTGGCAAAGAAAGCAATCAAATCAAACGGATAAAAGGAAAGGTTTAGGTCATTGGGGCAACTTCAATGTGATTTGGATTCTACTATTCTACACATAACGCATCCTATGTGATTGCTATCTATGTTTGGAATATACATTTATTGTCTATGCTTGCTTCCCAACTTTCTTGGGCTCAAAAACTATTGGTGCTATGTACAATAAAATTAGAAGACAAACTTGCTAAAATATGAAAACTATAAGAGAATATTTGTTTGTGGGAATTTTCTATGTATTCTTCTCCTTGTAGGAGGTCATATTTATAATACAACAAAACCTGAATGAACAAGTAAATAATAAATTCCTAAATCTATTTACAGTAGGAAATCAGGAATTAAAGTAAATCAATTACAAATAAAATAGGAATCCTTGGTGTGTAAGGAAAGTAAGTCAATATCCACAAGTCACGCCAACACTCCCCCTCACGTTGGTGCATAGATGTCGCCAATGCCCAACTGA